AGGTTTTCTACTCTGTAAAGAGTTATAGTTGCAGAAACTCACAGGAGCAGATGTAGCCTGACTTACAGGATCGCTATCAGTTGGCATTGACTTGTTGGCAAAGAGTTTTGTTTTTATAGGGTTTTGAGTCACCAGCAACTCGACAGCAGTGAGGTTTTTGTTTGTTTGTTTTAATACAGTCACTGTGGCACCATGCTGGTGCAGTGGTTTAAGCACTCAGCCGTCAATTGAAAGGTTTTTGGTTTGAACCGACTAGCTGCTTGCTTCATGAGAGAAAGAAGGGGCAATATGCTTCCATGGGCCATGGGAATTCTAACATAGGTTCTCAAACTTATTTACCTTACCGTCCTCCCTTTAACAAGTTACTCAGTATTCTTCTGGAAATTCATTTTTTACCCGAAGAAAGAGCCAATAATTCAACATAAAAGTGTAGGTATCTGCTTTCATGGCTTCACCCCCTGGAATGTTCCAGCACCCCCCAGGGGGAAGTATCATCCACTTTTGGAAACACTGCTCAGTGGGGTAATTCTACTGCAAGGTTGGGAGTTCAGACCCACCAGGTTCTCTGAAGAAAGATGAGCGAGCTGCTATAAAAGTTTATAGATTTTGAAATCTTCAGGGGTCAGTTTCTACTGTGCTATATGGAGTCACTGTAATTCGGAATCTACTTGATAGCAGTGGGTATGGTTTGGTAAGAAGCCCCTCAAGGAGGCATGGTGGCACAAAGGGTTAGGCATTGAACTGTTCACTGGAAGATTGGTGGCCCGACCTCGCCAGTAACTGAGAGAAGCATGCCTCAGAAACACTGTGGAGCAGTTCTGCCCTGCCCTATAGGCCCCTTTGCATTGACATTGACTGGACAGCAGTGGGAGAGTTACTCAAGAGACCTTGGTGGCATAGTGCTTAAGCTCTGGGCTGCTAACTGATAGGTCAGTAGTTCAAATCCCTCACCTTGTGGAGATAACAGTCTTAGACACCCCATGCAGCTGTTCTGTCTTGTAGCGTCTCTATGAGTTATAATGAACTTGACGGGAAGTGAAGGCTTTTGGTTTGTTTTGTTGTTGTTGTTTTAAGAGAATCAGGTCCATCGGTGGCACAAGCAGTTTGTATTTGACTATTAATCTAACAGCTGGCCAATTGAACCAAACTGATGCTTTCTAGTTCACTTATGGCTGAAGAAGTGAAACCAGAGCAAAACCAGGCCAAACCAAAATTTTCAAAAATGGGGTGGACTAACAATAATTGGAACGAGGGAAATTACAGGTTAATGTCCTGCTAGAAACTAAGAAACTTGATCTCCCTCATAGGAAACAAGAACAGCAACCAATTCTCTTGCATCAGAGTCTGAAACAATGGTACCTTATTCAAAGACACAGCTAACCATGCCTCCTCAGATGTGTGTTACTCCCCAAAATCCTGACAGTAACCCATCTTCCCCATCGGGCGCTGGGAAGGGCTTCCTATGGCTCTTCTGAGTCTCCCATTCGAGGACCTTGACGCATCATTTCCTTCCTGGTTATCATTCTCTGAACCCACACTTTCAGTTACAGTTCATTCTGGTTCTGCTTCACTGACTCTGACTGAACCACTTTGGATCAGGTAGCAGCTTTGAATCCACACAGCAGCCAAGTGCACCATCTAGGGACTGCTGGTGAAAGACAGGGGAGGGAAAACTAAGCTGACGAAAACCATGACTTTCATATCAAAGCCAGAGTTGATGAAGGGCCAAAGGAGGCTGCAGGGAATTGAAAAATAATTAAAAGTGTATTCAGGAATGACCTATGTAGTTGCATGGGGTCTATTATTAAGCTTTTCATCTGATTTCCAGGATAATCAGAGACTGCTTCTGTGTGTCCAGAATGGCAAAGGCAAAATAAAAAACATGATCTTCAGGTCATTTATATTTTTGCAATTCCATGTGTCAAAACAGAATTTTCTACTGCAATAATGAATCATTTCCTCATCCCCACGGACTCTGTGAGGGGGTATAGTTTCACGTGAATGAATGACATTCATTATCAACATTCATTTCCCTCAAAATGTTAAATTAAGTGGCTGCTAATTTTTCTTCACACCGAGCTCCCAGGTAGCATCATCGATACCTGCCATGCATTCGCTGACAGTGACCACTGTGCTGTGAGGAGCTGGGCTCATAAGTGTTTTCTGTGTCTCCTTATTTTAGTACATTGGAATGACATGTATTGAGAATAAATCATTTGCCCGAAATGTAATCTTTAATGTTACTCCTCTTGCTATATCTCTG